GCTAAACCTCAGCTACGATGTAGCCTATGGCAAAACACTAACATTTAAATCAATTTTTGCTGAATATGTTTGTCAGTGTAAGATAACAGTCAAATGTACTGCTTTCTAATGAGACAGAGTCGCTGCTTGACTTTTTCCCTTGGTAAATATTATTTGATGACTGACTGATTGAGTATTTGAGCAAGATTTTCCCTATTTTCCTAAATTTGGGAAAATCACAGCTTAACATATAGCCCTCGAGGGAGACGTGAGGAAGTCATGCACTGCAGGTTGCGACGAATTTAAGAGCAAAGACACGTGGTTCCAATTAGACCTAAACTCCTGGAGTAACAACTTATGTCAGGGAGGACGGGGGAGGGAACCCACCATAGCCTAGTCTGTGTGTGTATTGGATAATTCTATACAACGGTGTCACGCCTGACTCAATCCATTTCGTGTGTGTCTGCGCTTGTGTCTGTGTCTCTGAGGTAATCCCACAAGTCACAAGACCCGATGTCAACATCCAATCAGCATTCTATTTTTGGTGGTTTTCTGATTGAGCTGTCTAGAAACTGCGCTTCACACCCTAAAACCACGCCTTTTGACGCCGTTGATCTGCAACTGCGGTTAAACTACACTGAGCTCTGATTTATTACCCCCACCCATTCAACTACACTCAATCAAACGTTCAGCTTCTTTAAGGCCCATCCCTTAGACACTGAGTCTTTTTTAAATATGTGAGCCAGTTTAACCCATGTGTACTGAGTTCACTTTTAACACCAGAAAATTGAAAAAACTATGCCTCCTACAATAAATCCAGTGATGTAATTTGTTATGCTTTTATAACAAGTGAGCACAGAAGTCTGAACAGTATAGCATAGAAACAGTGAAACAGAAAAAGTAATATGTGAAAGGTCCAGCTTGTTCCTCTCTAAGTGGCAGTAGTGCAAATGATAATTGCAAATGATAAAAAGTTGTATCATTATTGACTCTTATATGTTTAAAAGTGTTACACAACATCCAGATTAAAATCACATTTGGAACATGACAGGTGGTGCTAATGAAGGAGTACTCTGTTCATCTGACAGGGCAACGGTGGTGCATCTGCAAAAAATATGTTGTGGTCGACCTTTGTAGCTTATGTTGGGTGATTCAAATGCTGCATGACCAAAGGGGTCATGAGAGGTGACACGTATGGTCTTGGGTTTAAAGAACTTCACTTCAAAGAGGTCACTGTAAGATGAGTAAAACAGTACACACAAATGCCAATATACACAATATTTAAGGTAAGAAAAGCTACAGAAGACAGCTAGCTACGGTGTTTTCACCACCTGCAACCTTTCATCCCCACACCACAAGCTAAAATAGCGGTGATGCTGATAAAGACAGCCGAAAATCACGGAACTGGAAGCTGTGACTTAGAAACCCATTTTCACTTATTAACACATTTTGGGGTGAACAAGCTATAGTACTGTTTTAAAAATCTGAATGTATTTTCTATGATCTGAGCTTGGGGAGCATCGTCTTTTCCGCTTTGTTCTTATCATTTAAATAAACTTATCAAAACTTTGTGACATGGAAAGGATTCCCCCAAAAGATTATAGAAATGATCATGTTAAAATTGTGTGGAAAAACCTTGCAGCAACACCAAGATGGACTGTTAGATCCATCTATTATTGACTGGAAAAAATAGATTCCAAATCCTATCAAGATCTATATTCAGAATTGAAAGAATTGAACTAAAGAGGTAAAGTTCCTAACGATTGAGGACTGCAAGACCATGTTATATTTTATATCCACTAAAGATCCAATAAGTATTTAAACGTTGATTTCTATATTACTTCAAATCTCCTAGTTGTAAGGCTGGTTACTTCGGCAAAACTGAATGCTGCTTAATTTCCATATTAAGTGAATATGTAAGATGACCCAACAGTGGTGTGTATGAACATTTAGCATGATGTAATTAATTCAAACATCCAACTGATATTATGAACTTCCTAAACACTCATTACATTAAAAAGACATCGTCAGACAACATACAGAAACTCTGAAATCCTTTTTTTTAAAGTAAATACTGGGACAGTTGTTTAAAAGCTTCTAAGGAACTAAGTTAAGTTAAGAGTAACTCTACTCTTATCTGTTTTTTGGACTGTGTCTTTGGCAGTAGGAGCAGCAATTCATTGTTTTCACCATCCCTGGAAAAGCATAATCGATCAGGTGTGCAAATCCGGCGTGACAAAACCAAACCTGAATTTTCTCTGCTGCATTAGGGTTAAATGCTTTGCCAAGAAAATTACAATCAACAGTTCACATGGCAGGGGATATTCAGTCTTGCCCCAGCCGATCCAGGGATTTGAATCGACCGTATTATATTTTGCTAATAAAGATGCTCCTCTAATGTTTAAGCTACACTTTGGTTGAGGAGTGGTTGTGTCAGTGTGGGGGATTTGTGTTCAATCTCAGGCTGCACTGGATAGGGCAAAAATAAAACAAACCTCAGAATGACGTTGTGACATGTTTTGTGAACATAGGCCCACAGCTAACTATACCTCCCAGGATAATTGCTCAATATATTCCCCAAAGCTCTGTTGCTGTTTCCTTCCTGTAGAGTTTCACAGTAGAACATAGAAGTTGTGTATTTCCAGATGGACAGTCTGACTATACAATATGTGTGTGGTGCAATCTGTTGCTTTCAATGGACATTTATTTGACAACCCTTTTCAGTCTTAGCCCACAGTTGTATGATGGATATTGTTAAATACTGGCATTGACAGCAACATGGCACCCACAGCACAACTTTTCGTCAGTGGTCAGCATGTTCACATGTCAGCATTTACTCCTATCAACCCTTGCTGTTTTTTGAGTGAAATGTGCTGTTGATACTCAAACAAGCAGGAAAGTAAATGTTCCAAATCATTCAGCTCAAGAAGAGGTACCCATGCACTGCTAAAATCTAACTTTTAATCCTTCAAGTAGAAATAAAAGCACTTCTGCGACTTGTGTACTTTGCCATGTATGCTATTGAAATGAAAGTGCAATAACGTACATAAGGAAAAATTACTGAATTGAGGCCATCATTTTGAAAGTTTCCCATGGTGTCACTAACATCTCTGTTCTACACTGTGTTAACTCCGTCTTCCAGGAATCCTTTAGGTCTACATGTGATTGAGTATTTCCCTCTTTAAATAAATACTTGAAATGAGCTTGTACAAACGTAAAAAAAAGCAAAGAGTAAAGTACTAATTTGGCTTCAAACAATAAATAATAATAATGTTGCTCACTGACTGGTACAATGAGGGCATACCCACTGGAGCTTGGAAGCTGTGTTTTTAAATGGCACCATACATAAACAATGCAGGTCTACTGGGGGTTTCCTACCACAGGCCCCATTTCTATTCATCACCTTGCCTTGTATATGCTCACGCTCTGAACATGATGTTTCACAAAAAGGACCCAAAATCACAGTTCACAAATTTGCATCAAAGTGCTTTAAAATCTACACAAAATCCTCGATTCAGATAATGGACAATGTGATTCAGAAATCATTGATAGTAAATTCAACCATCACTGACCTGTTATTCACATTTAAGGAAAGCATCTTCAAACAATTATTCCATGTTTTCTGTGCTTTCATTTATAAGGCCTTGCTATCTAAGTTGCCAATATAATTGAAAGTGGATATTTAACTTTTGCTCTAAGCATCAGCCTGTGAAAACAGTTGTATAATATCTTCTGTAGCTCTGGAGGAGCTTTACAAAGTTAGAAAACTAACCATGAAGGCTGGTTTCTGGTACCATGCACCTTACTACTGGAATGAAATGCAAAACAAAGAAGAAACACTGAAGGTGGAGACATTCATTCTTCTGAGGAATGTTTAAAGTTCTTCTTACTGATATTTATAATACTAATACTTTAGTTAGTGTCTGTGCGTGACAACTGCTTTGTGTGACTGAAGTTTCTCTTGAGATCTTCAATGAGGCTTCCTGTATAAATAAATATTTACGTGACACTTGTATACATTTACAGCTCTCTCCCAAAATAAAAATGAGAGATTAAAAATCCTTCAAAGACCACCCAGAAATAAGCACAATATATTACATCACCACTGACTATATTTGTGGATTCACACATATGTCACTGTCCTGTGATAAACATGTATCTGCAAAACATAAACTTTTATTGAAAGAAGGTAATCAGTCCTGTTTTCAGCTTTGGGACAATTTTCAGATTTTAAAATGGATTTTTTTTCTCATCCCATTAAACATTTATTCCTCTAATCTGAATAATTCAAAAAGACCAAATTTAGATATATGAGTTTTCCACTGGGTATGCAACCCTGGAGTTTTCCAGGAATTATGGAAGAGGATGATGATGACACTTTTTGACTCGTCTTGGTGGGAGTAACATGAGTTCTCCTTTTGGTTGGATTTTCCATTCAGATAACCTTCCCGAGGAGCTACTGTTTCCAGACGCCCCAGTGTCGGTTCTGTATTACACAGCACGGCCTGCTGGTCAAAGTTGGGAATTGCGCTCTGGAGAATCAGTGAAATGACTGAAATTCCATAACATTCAACTCCAGCTTACACGTGCATATGTGCACGTCTCCTACAGATGACTGCATGGAGTCTCGCACTGCTTCCAGCTGTTCAGTTAGTGTGTAACTTCTCATTGGATTATGTGTTCTCATCATATTCATCATTTTCAGTGTCAGGCAATATACAATCTAAAGCTCGGTAATGATCTTTGAGCTGTGTCAGTTTTAACACTACATATAGGGGTAATTGAAGACAAAGGATGGTGGTTTAACTGCCTCTCAGGAACATGCCATGATCCTGCTCTGCTCTCAGGTCTCTCTCTCTCTCTCTCTCTGCTGTCTCGACCTCAGGAGTTTGAATGAGTTTGGGTGAGGGAGTCTCTCTTCTCCTCTCCGTCGCTCCTCCTCACACCCCCCGAAACCATCCCCTCTTATTAAAACAACACGCCAATCTGTTGTAGCCCGGTAAAAGGAGTTTGGGAGCCGCAGCAGGCATAAAGGAGGCTCCACACACAGCCGTCTGGAAGGCATTAGACAACATCGACTTTTGGCCACTTCTCTGCGCTCTGTGTAACCTGGATGCTTGAGGAAACTATAGAAATAATTACCTACATGCCCCTCAAGACAGCAAAATACAAATGATATAAATTTTATAGTCAGGGTCATTGCTGGAAACTTTTTTTTCTCCTTCTGTGTCATTATGATTGACTCTGCCAAAGAGGGCTTTTTTTGTAACTTTTTTTTATTTTAAAAATATGAATGAAACTGTCAGACGTTGATGGAGAAAAATATTTATAATTTTTCTATAGTGTACTTTTTATTTATACTTTTTTTTATATGAAAGATGCCAAAGTTGCCTGACATAATGTCTGGGTTTGTACACCTAAGATGCATGCGGTGCACAGTTCATGATTGCCCGCAGACTTTTGAAAACTAGAGAAGTAACGTGAATATTTTTGAGCATCTAGCTGAGCAGGAGGAACGTTCCTGAATCTTATTATATCTTATTAATGAGGATCAATTTCAGCGGATTCATGAGACTCATTACTACACAAGTGTCCTTTGAAACTTTCTCAAGACTTTTTTCCCCTGTGGAGTGGTACCAAAGCCGCCGGAGTTGACCAAATCCTTGTTCAAGGACGAAAGAGAGGACAACAGCTGCTTTAAGGTAGGCGGCCAGTGATCATTTGGTCTGGTGACCATGCAGACTGCTAACAGAAAATGAATGATGTTCCATCAGAAGCCAGTCGAATTGTTGTTGCTGCTCCAAACTCTCATTTCAAGCAATATACAGTAGGCATTTTGGGTATCTTTCATAATTTTAAATAATAAGGATGTTGTCCAATATTTAAGCAGTGATGCTTTAAGTTAGGAGCATCCCAGCTTTTTTCTCTCTTCTTGCGCCTTAACTGGTCTCGCGTAAAAGCAGATTGCATCTCTGGAAAGTTTTATTTTTTCCTTCACAAATGTTAGCTACTTTAAAATGTTATTACATTTAAACGAATAAAATAAAGTTCAATTTGTAACTGGCACGAACACTGTCATGCCTCGTTGCCCAGCAGTGCCAGCTGTGGACATGTGCGAAACATCTCAGATTCATCATATAAAACTACACATAGTCTTTGCTGAGCCAGTTATTTTACCCTGAGAATAAAATAAATCTATGACGTCGCAAGCCATACGTCATTCTTTGAACTGCGTGAGCCAATGGGAAGACTGGATTTGGACAAGTTCAGCTTGCCTTGTGGTCGAAGCGCGTAATTTGATGCCTTATGTGAAAGACCGCTTTGTGCGCACATGTGAATTCTGAATACCATTTCATGTTTTAGACACAACTTTAGTAAGTCATGACAATAATGTACTCTGAGTGGCTGGGTAGGCGTGGCAGACATTTACCTTGCTGAAATGATCAGCAGGTCATCCAGCCGCTCTCAGCTTCAGGTCAATCTTATGCTTGAGGTCATAATTGAATAGATGCAACAGTAGCCTATGCAGGTAGAATTATAACTCCCGTCACAGCCACTACTGGCAAACACACAAATGCAAATGAACATCTGTCACACTCCATTGGCATACTCTCTTCCTCCATCTGCCTACTCTGACCTCTCAGTTTGCAGAGACCACTGTTGGCTCATATAAAAACCCACACTAGGAATGTCCATCTGTGAGTTGGATGTCTAAGCATTCCTGACATTTATCTAAAATGTACGGTACAGCTTTTATCCTACACATGGAATGTACTTCCTACTGACCTGGGAAATCTTCTCATGATGCATATTAATGCCAAGCTATCCGCAGATATCCACCTGTAAGGAATGATGTGATGAGTGTTACTATGTATCATATATTGACTTAAACTTGCTGTCTTACCCAACAGTGCATTGTTTAAAAACATGTGAACTATTAATGTATCCCTGGAGAAATGTTTACAGAAGCTACCACACTAATCAGTATTCCCAATCTTACTAAGTTCCACATGTAGATTTTAAAATGATAGTTTCAGGACACACGTTCTTTGTATATCCAGGACATGTGTGGAGCTTCTGTCAATGCACAGACGTATCCAGACTAATACCAACATGCTTTCCCTAATCTCAGCCCTCGAGGGAGTTCCTCTGCTGAGTGTGGAGCTCAGTGTGCTACAGAGAGGAAGGCAATCCATTTCTGGTGCCTGTTAGTGAAACATTAAACCTAAAACAGAGATTTGATTCTTATGTGCAGCAATGTGGGTAGTCCATGAAAGTGATTACGATAACTGGTGATGCACCAAAAAAGCAAGGAAAGTAAGTTTTTTTGGTACTCTTCAATGGGTGACACACACAGTTTACACAGTTTTCTGCAGGCTCATCATTGCTACAGGATGTTCCTCCACACAGCGCACAGAGAGGTTTACTACTTAACAGAGGAAGGCATTCCATGGCTGGTCTCCATTAGAGCTCACAACAAGTCCCACGTGCCATTACTTCTCACAGCATGGGTCCTTCAGTCTGTAGGGCCATGGGGCTGGCAAGGTATAACTACTGAAGTTAGTAGAGAGAGTGCATATGCGCAGCCCCTCCCAAACACACAACACCAACACCACCACCTACCTCATCTATTCTGCATTAATGCCACAGTTTTTTTCCAGGTTCCCTTGGTAAAGCAGCAGTAAAGGAGCACTATAGCCAGCCAGTAAAAGCAAAAATTTGGATGTCAGTGAGGTTCTGACGTAGATTCCCACTACCTCATACTGTGTCACACAGTATAGGTCCAGAAGTTACACTATAACATAAAGTAACCCAGGAGCTGTATAAAGTAAGCTGTGTTTGAGTAGCAGCACAGCGGATATTGCTAGCTGCTGGACATCACCATTTTTGATGTTTCTGATGATATTACTTATGGTATATCTTGTGGAAAAGCCAAGTCTTTTCTTTCTTCCCTTAATACATCTATCATTTCATCCATCCATTCAGGCTAGCTATGGGTTTCTGTCTCTTATGTTATCTCTTAGCTGTAATTAACTGTGATAATACAGAGTGCTAGAATAGAATTTTCAACCAAATATAGGGAGGAATCCAAGTTATTTTAGAGCACTGTTGATTGTCTGTAGTCAGGTAAGGTGAAGTGTTGGATCAATGAATGACAGAGACTCATTCATAAAAGGTGAAAGAATTTAAAAGTTTTCACAGCCTTCAGTGGCAGGAGAAACCAATGGTGTGAAAAAAAGGTCATTGTGAAAATGTAGTATAGGTAAGAAAATCAAACAAATAATCAGACAGAGGAGTGGCTGTAGAGGGAGGCATTCTCAGCCGTGCAGCTGTAATTTGGCTGGAAATCCTGGAGCCTGCCACAGTGGCGCAAGTCCACTGCCTCAGCTGGCACTGACCTGAGCCAAGTCCACCAACAGTCTGGTGTCTCCCATCTCACTAACTCACCTCCTTCCTGTAGTACGGTTGCATCACTTCCTTCTGCTCATTCAAAAAAAAAAAAGAGCTAGGGATGAGTCAAAGGAAGAGGACATGCCAAATACCAACCAGCATAGATTGTCTTCAACATTGAGAATGGATTTACCACAGTTTTCTGTTAAATGATCTGTAGCTTCACTGTCCATGTTCACTTTAAATTAAATAAAACCTAAATGATGCAATCCCAACTGTTGTGGTAAAAGACAGAGATGATTCACAACAAAGAAATTGATGTAATTCAAACATAATACAAAACACTCTCCTAAGATGCTGTAACCTTTGTGCCTTTGCCAGTTAGAGCCTTATCACACCTGGTTCTAATAGCTTACAGAAGGTGAGGAAATCGAGAGACAGTAGATGATGAGGAAACAGGGTATATAAGTCAACTCCCTTTTAATGTTGTAACTTTGTACCTTTGGCAGTTGTGGCCCTCTACACCTGATTCCAATCATGTATTGAGTAGTGCAGGATTACACAGTGAGAGGTGTTACTGTTTACTTCTGGTTCTTATAATGACAACGCTCCCAAAACAACAGCACACCGTGAGCACATGGGGGGAGGAAGAGGCGGAGAAAGAGGAGGGCTGAGAAGGGTCAGAAACTTCCTGGAGGTGCCTTTGAAAACTCCCATGACCGTTCAGTTCAATTAAGAGTATACAGTTTTATTCCCACTAGAATAAGAAATAAAAGACAGGTAAAAAACAAGTTGTAACTACATGACAGCTGTTGATTTTATATCCATATATACTATTTGTATATTTCATTTTTATACTCTACTAATAAACAACACAAACACATTATCTTTTGAGACTTGTCTCACTAAAATATGATTATTTTTCATAAACCATCATACACAGTAGACCTTAAAGCATGTCAAGAAAGTAGGCAGGAAGTAGCGAGCCAGCTGTGAGTGTGTCTCAGTCTGCAGCCAACTCTGGAGTCTTTCCCTGCCGCTCCCTCTCCTCTGCCTCGCCGTCTGCTCAGGAACATGTGAGCCTTTCCTGCATCCTGCTACAAGCGTCATGAGGGCCATCCCCACATTTAATGCTTTTTAAATGCGTCCTGGCCTTTTCTCAGCTCACACACACACACACACACACACACACACACACACACACACACACACACAGGGATCACACAACGCATCTCTCCATTTTTGCATATGTGTGTTTTCTGTTGGCAGAACATCATGCCTTTGAGATTTCAAAGGTGTGTATGACATCAGCAGGTCTGGCTTCCCAATACTGGCTTGGTGATAACATAAACTTTTCCAATATGTCTTTATGGATCACTACTGAAAGGCTTTTAGCAAACCATAAATATAATTTATAAATCTTCATTAGCCTCTATTTACTGTAGATTGACAGAGACAATGGCATTGTCATAAATGTCTTATCCAATAAGCCAAAGTATCAGCCACAGGTGTGAACTGGCTCTTCAGAGCAACATTAAAGTTTAATTTGTGAATAAGACTCATCTGGCCAGAGACGCTGATTTTAACCAGTAACTGCTCAGTCACGATAACATAAAGATGTAAGCTTTACATTATCTCAGCTCCACACAGATCGGCAAACTCTCTTTTTTGGCTCTGCTTCACATTTATACTGCCTGTGGCAACAATGACACAAAAAAATGCACGTACACATATTGTACTTACTGTATAAAGACACACAGACACACACACACACAGTCTGGCGAGCCTTGTTATATTTTACGTTCCATCACAGGCCTTGGAACCCAGACCCCGCAGACAGGGATTCCACTGCTCTCCTGTGAGTTCAGTCAAACCATCTCTTCCTCTCGGCAGCACACGTGCACTCACACACCACTCTCCCTGTGTGCAAGTACGCACACACACACACACACACACACTGTACATGTTATGCTTAGCTCACATATTTACACATGCGCACACACACACACGCGCACACACACACACACACACACACACACACACACACACACACATGTACACATGGCAAGTGTTTAGCAGCAACAGCAGAATTTGAAGGCATTCACCCAGACAAGCCACATAACTGACAGCTATCCACTGTTACATAACATACATATGGGTTATTACAGCAAGCGCTGATTCTACTGACTAAATTACACATTTTATTTAAGGACCAAAATGGGTCACAGAAATATAAATAAACTTTTGTTACCCCACAAACCAGGAATGCTTAGTCTGAAACTCTAACTGACTGTGAGGCTTTTCACACACACGAGTACATATGAAAAAACAACCTTATCACAGTTCTAAAAGAAAATCTGCATAGCTGGGATATTACTAATTTCAGCAATGCAATAGCATTTCCTAATTGGGATAATAATGTTGAATTGGTTCAAAATGTTGTACACACATTCATGGATCCTAGACAATGATTCATTCTGACTGGTGGTAACCCTGACATCTCCACTAACACCACCATGAGGTTCACATTTATGGTCTTCCCAATATTGGTGATCTCTTAACATTTCATTGAACTGCATCATCAGGTCAAATTTTCAATATGTCCAATACTTTGTTTTATGACTATGTACTACATGTGCAAAACTTTCCCATCAGCCTCACCTGTACTTTAGTTACAGTGCTATTTAACAAATGTAAGCATGCTTACACACTAAACTAGTTGTACCTGCTAAACATCAGCGTGCTTCTATTGTTTTTGTGAGCATGTTAGCATTCTGACATTAGCATTTGGCTACAGCCTCACAGAGTCACTGGCATGGCAGTAGACTCATTGTCTTGTTTGTCAGTAACCATGTAGCTCATTGTCAGTTATCCATATTGCACAGATGTTTAAAGTATATATATGTACCATAAACTTAACATATGTTGTACAGATGTTAACATGAAAGAATTTTGTTAAACAGTGCACTGTGCAGAACAGTACACAATGCACAATTAACGTTTTTTCAGCGTGAAAGGTATGTGCAGGTCTATTCATATTTAATAGGGTTATATGGTCAGATTATAAGGCTCAAATGAATGAAACAGATCACCAATTGTTTTTACAGTCTCCTGAGATATACTGCTCCACAGTGATACAGCAACAGTGGGAAGTAGTGGTCTTGAGACCGGTCTTAAGACCACTTTTTGATAGTTTTGGTCTCGTCTCAGACTCGACTGCATTTGTACTCGGTCTTGTCTCTGTCTCGGACATTGAGGACACAACTTTGGGAATATCAATAAATTGGTTTTGCATTGTCTGATTTATTTGTTAACATCCTTACTTTGATTGGATGGAAAATGTATTGCTTCAAATGCAACCAATAACCCTAATTAAAAATGTGTAGTTACCGTTAACAACTGTCACCGCAATGGTAAGCATGGAAAAGGAGTGTTGAATAAACATGCTTACGTGGATTTCAGTGTTTGTATGTGAGTGTTTTATGGGAATATGGATCTTTCAGATCAATTTGAGAAGTATGATCTCGTTCCACATTTTATTATGTGTCATGTAATGTGGGGAACTGGTCTTGGTCTTGACTCGGTCTCGCCCTCCCTCGGTCTTGGTCTCGACTTGGTCTCAGCCCCTAAAAGTCTTGGTCTTGTCTTAGTCTCGATAAACTCTGGTCTTGGTCTTGTCTTGGTCTTGGTTTGGGTGGTCTTGACTACAACACTACTATCCACAGACTGTCATTTTATTTCAAACAGAGCCATACAGAGTTTTCACCAGAGGACAGAGCGAGACAGCTCATTCATGCATTCATTCATCTCTCTGCTAACCCACCATCTATTCTCCATCCATACAAGACTAAACATTATTGTAATATTATCTGTGAGACAGAGTCAGTGGGAGTTTTACTCAAGAGACTATTAATGGCGTCAGAGTAAGACTGCTAATGCATCCAAACCCAAGGTCACCATATGGGTTGGACACACACACGCACGCACGCACGCACGCACGCACGCACGCACGCACACAGAACTGGGTTTTCACATGCGCCAAGATACAAAAACAAACCTGGGATGATATCATCCATATGTACTAATGACACCTTCAACGCTTACACACACATCATATATCGGCATGATACACGTACACAATATTTAAGTGACAACACCCACATGTGTCGATGACACCTTCACTGTCACAGATATTCCTCTGATTAGAGGCTTTATCTCACAGGGGCCGGGGCCAAGTTATAACGACCATCACGACTGATTTCATGTCTGCAGAGAATCTTCCTGCAGTCTGAGCTGATTGTTAGTCTTGAACTTTGCATTGGATCGCACACCCATAAGGGCTTATGATATGCTACCAATGTCTGAGCTGTTTCTTTTTGCCCAAGTCTGCCTGCATTTGACAGCATTCAGTTGGTTTGCAAGGAGAAAAGAACAAAAGATGTATGTCTGTGGATCATGACCTGAACTGAATTTCACAGTTCGGTTTTGTATTTTAACCACAAACCTTTAATGAGAGTGAGTGTTTCATGTGAGTATGGTCTTAAATCATAAATAAACAAGCAGTCAAAAAGTAACAAACGCTGTGTGGAGCTTGCATGTACTCCATATGTCTGCAGGGGATTCCTCCAGATTTTCCGATTTCCTCCTGAGGCCCAAAGACATGCATGTTAGATAAATCAGAAACCATAAATTCCCAGTAGGTGTTGATGTATCTGTCTTCACTAGCTGATCATGGAGGCATATAAAAAAATCTGTGATGACTTATTTTCCTATAACCAAAGATGTTTTGCCAAAAATATATCAACACCGCACATTCACAAACTATTAGGTGCGTGAATTTAGATGGCACATTTATGGTGAAACATGTTTTCTCCTTAACAGTGGAGTTCAAAAAAGTTGATGCAGGAAGAAAGGGTGAAAGAGTTTGCTCTTCACCACCTTATGTAGTTGTAAAACATTATACATACACACACACATATGGTGCACAAACTAAAGGAGGTCTAAGGTGAAACGCTCTCTCAGCTTAACACAATTAAAAATGTGTATTTTTACAGACACACAGTCTCTCTGTCTCTCTCTCTGCATCAGTGTATTAAGCTTTTATATGTACATTTGTATGTGTGTGTGTGTGTATAACGCCTGTGTCAGGGGTCTTGTAAATGAGCGGCTGACGTTAAGAGCCTTGCCACGTGCCAGAGGAGGCCTGCTGCACTGGTTGTGGCCTTCTCAGCCAACGATCAAATGAACAAGGCATTATGTCTGAGCCAAGGGGTGTGTGTTCATCCTCCTCTCTCTTAGCTTTGCCTCTCTCCCTGCTTCTACGACTCTCACAGTGTCTCTTGCTTTGTTTTTCTCTTGCAGCCTTCCTAAATATCCATCTGTCTACTTCTATGCTCGCTGCTAGCCTTTACCCACTTTCTTTTTCCTTTCTTTCCCTCTCTTTGGCTCTGCCTTCCTCTCCCAATCTCCCCAACTGTCTTTTACAATGCTGTCTCTTTTTCTCTCTGCGTCTCTTTCCCTCCTTCCATCTGTCTTGTCTGTTTAGGTGTGGTGTGAGGAACTCTTGCCAAATAACAAAGACTGCTGCACAAGGACTGTGTGTACTATTCTTTTGATGACTTTATTTCTTGTTCTTATTTACATGCCTTTCTTGTCTTCAATAAACTTACATGTATAACTTCCATGCAATGATACATTAAGATGAAATATGCCATAAAATGTACTGTCTGTAATGGCTCATCAAATGGCACCAAAAACAATTAAATCTTTAAAATACAGCTCAAATTGTCAAAATGATGTCCCACAAGGGAGCTTCCCACTGAGTCGGTGAACAGAGATGCGTTCTTTGACCCTCATGATGTCAATGGGTCAAACCTTCGCTCTGCAAAAAGCATGTTCTCCATAATCATTAAAGCAATATAATGTCATATCCTCCCTCTCTTCACTGTACATCTTTATATTTGCATATAATTAATCCTAGACATGATTTTCTATACTTAAAATGGGGACTCAACAGACGGGAAGAAGCACACGTGCAGCATTTTCTAAAAAGCTCTTGTGTTCTTCTTCCCACGGAGATATAAACAGATGACATCACAGGGTGGTCCGCCCTGCGTTGAGCCGAGCTGAGCCACGCTGAGTGGGTCTCCGTTGATCTGCCAAACAGATGGCGGTCGAAACATAATGAGGGCTGGAAACAAACTTCAGGATTCTGAGCAGAAGTTTTTGTACAGCAGGGCTCAGGTTCATTAAAGTTTTGAGTTTAAACACAAGAGCAGGGGATGTTCTTCTCTGGTCCCCACATTAAAACCCACAGAACAATCATTCATGGTCTACATCAGAGCCCCTTATATGGAATCCCTAAATGAAAATATTTCTGAACCCCCTGCTTTACAATAGAGAAGGAACAAAAATCATAATAGTCTCTCCCAAGCATTTAGAGAGCACTTGGAGTTTGGACATTTGGCAGGGGCAGCCAGCTTGTTGGTTAATTAGGTCAAGAAATCTTGTAATGTGTGCCCACCCACACTAAAGGAGAGTTGGAACAATTGGCTACTCACAACTGTCTGACATTTAGAGAGTTTGGGGAGGGGTGGGAGTAAAGAAAGGGGGAGAAACTTTACTGCTTTCTCTACCTGGGTTTGTTGTAAGAAAAAAAAAGGTTGTGTTTGCCATAGAAAAGTATGCTGAAAAGCTGTGAATAAGCATTTTTCATATGTGGCATCTTATTAAAGCTTCATACAGTCTGCTGCTGGTATTGAAGTCTGTGTTTTCTATGTATGCCGAGTGTCCGATTGTATGTCTGTTACTTTATACATAAATGTTTTCTTTAACATTTTCCCTCTCCAAGTCATAGCATGGTCATCTGATGTTTGTGGGAAGTCACTATCTTCTTGTTTCTTTAGTATATTACAAGGAAGGAAAAATAAGGAAATGTTAGGCTGAAGTTTCTATGACCTGCATACATTAGGTTTTATTCATGAATGAACTTCAGTCCTGTAATATTCTACACTGACTAAATGTTACCCTTTTCTCATTCTGCCCTTAGATGAGGTGTGATAGAGTCCTTACCTACCTGCGGATATTTGGGACCACCATGTTTGGTGTGTCCCTCCTGGTGGGCATCTCCACGGCCTACATCATGGGCTACCAGTTCTTCACCACAGCCCGCAATCACCTATCCTTTGGCTTGTATGGCGCCATCTTGGTCGTCCACCTCATTATCCAGAGCATGTTTGCGCTCTTAGAACACCGAAACATGCGGCGGTCCTTAGAAACGCCGATCAAACTGAATAAATCCTTGGCGCTGTGCATTGCAGCGTATCAAGAAGACCCAAACTACCTGAAGAAATGCTTGGTGTCGATAAAGAGGCTGACGTACCCGGGGATCAAAGTGATCATGGTGATCGACGGGAACTCAGACGATGACTTGTACATGATGGACATTTTTAAAGAGATCATGGGAAAGGAGAAATCGGCCACATACGTGTGGCGGAGTAACTATCACAACAGAGGGGTGGAGGAGACAGATGAGAGCTACGCTGAGAGCCTTCAGCATATCTCCAGGCTGGTGCTGAACAACAAGTGTGTGTGCATCATGCAGAAGTGGGGAGGGAAGAGAGAAGTTATGTACACACCCTTCAAAGCATTGGGGAGGAGTGTGGACTATGTGCAGGTAAGTCAGTAAAACTAGAAATGTATATTAAAAGAGGGGTTTAATTGAAAATTATAAAGGAATTGTGAATTTACAGAAGGGTAGATAGTGAAAATGACTAGACTGAATGAAAAAGGGGCGAGGAAATAGGGAGAGAAACAAAAAGAAGGGGGGAACGAGAGGTGTCAGTAGTGCAAACTAGACACCGTTATATAACAGGTAAAATATTCAGTGGTATGTGCCTCTGTGTATACCTTTGTAGTTGTACACACACATAGTAGGTAAGACAAGGACAGTTGACATCGGTGTGAGCTGAAGATCGAGGGAAAGAGATGAGAAAGAGGGGGGCTGGAGAAGGGACGGGGGGCTCTGCCAAGCCAAATATGGGGTCCACAAAGAGTCTTTTGTGTTGCTTTTAGACGGACGGTGGCTGTGTACATTGTGTTGTGAAGTGCAGCGTGAAGAAAGGAAGCAGTAGCTGATGTCTAAGTGTAATAACAGATCTGTTTCACAGAGCTGAGTGTTACATCATCTACATGAGTGCTATTCAGAGTCAGGGCACAAAACTGTGTCAAAGTAAGGTTGAATTTGGTACATATTTGTTTGTTGGTGATGAAAATGTCAAATAGCTTAGTTTAACACGAATTAGACAAATCTACATGTCTGTATGGCTAAAAGCTTCTATGGGATTTAGTGAAATATTGTTGTCATATCATTTAAACAATAATAATAAATAATAATCTCAGTGCATGTTAATGACACTTAAATCATACTTTGACTAGTAATCTTATGAATCAAATGTACAAACCTGGCATAAGTTTAAAAGTAAATTCTGTCCAACATTCTGTTTGCCAATGTCATTTGTTTAGTAAAATTCAGCTGGTTGGGTTACAAAAAGACATCTTGAGCAATGAGTAAAGCTGAACAGAATCCTCATTACTTTAATAATACTAGAAGGATTTTAATGAGTCTGCATTACAAAAATGAGACTTTGAGGATAAAAAGTATTTGATATGAAGCTGTTTAACACCTGCAGCTAGCTACAGCTTGCCAGAAACTTAACAAGAGATTACAAAACAATTTACTGCAACACTGCCAGTAATCACGCTAATACCCTCCAACATGTAGGGAAAGGGTGACAGTTTTGCAGGCTGATGATAGTAAAAACAGATGTGTTTTGTTAATAGGGATTGGGCACTAGGTTTGTTTTCATCACCTGATTTTGTTGGGGAGGAAAATTACCATTTATAGAAGAAAATGGAGAGAGCAAAACATCAGAAAGATAGTAGGTAGTGATTAAGTTTAAAGCTGTTACTCTTTGTTGCAGGGGATTATTGACTGGCCATTTTGTTAATTAGACCATTAAAATTTTAAATTGGTGGCATACTTGTTTTATACATTTTATTGATCTCGTTTTGGACCACCAAAGGTCTGTCTCAAAAGAAAGACTTTGATAAATTTTACATTTATCTGACACTTTTTTATCCAAAGCAACTTACAATTGTTATACAACTAGGGGTTAAGTGTCTTCAGGGACACAATGGTGGATGTCTCACAGTGAGAATTGACCCCAGGTCTTCCTACACCAAAGGCAAGCATCTTATCTATGCGCCATCACCACCCATAAATAACACTTTACATATTGATTTTGTGTAAATGTTTTTCAAATATGAACAAATATAGTAGACAAGGTGGATTACATTGTTCTCTAGTAAGTAAGTAAGAAGGGGAGACTTTGGATGTAACAGATGATTTTAGTCTGGCAGTGAACATGTTCTGTTACTATTCTCAAGTCAGGTCAATTTAATTTATATATAGCCCAAAATCACAAATCACAAATTTGCCAAATGGAGCTTTACAATCTGTACAGCATACGACATCCTCTGTCCTTAGATCCTTGATTCGAAGAAGGAAAAGATCCCCAAGCTGTGTGCCTTTTTACATTACAGTAACAGATGACCTTTGGCCCGAAAACACAGGTAGCTCACTGTTTATTTTGTGGTTTTCACTCAGGTGTGTGACTCTGACACTATGCTGGACCCAGCATCATCGGTGGAGATGGTGAAGGTCCTAGAAGAAGATCCTATGGTGGGAGGCGTTGGAGGAGATGTACAGGTGAGTTATGAATTTTTGTTATTCCTTGAATGTAACACATTTGACAAAGTGAGCATTTATAACCTCCAACTTTTTCTTTTTGATCATCAATTCCTCCCTAGATCCTGAACAAATACGAATCGTGGATTTCCTTCCTGAGTAGTGTGCGGTACTGGATGGCCTTCAACATTGAGCGGGCTTGCCAGTCCTACTTTGGCTGTGTGCAGTGCATCAGTGGGCCTTTAGGAATGTACCGGAACTCCCTCCTCCGTGAGTTCCTTGAAGACTGGTACAATCAGACTTTCATGGGATCCCACTGTAGTTTTGGGGATGACCGCCATCTCACGAATAGAGTTCTAAGCCTTGGATATGCCACCAAATATACTGCACGAGCAAAGTGCCTCACTGAGACGCCGATTACATACCTGCGGTGGCTAAATCAACAAACGAGATGGAGTAAGTCATATTTCAGAGAATGGCTATACAACTCTATGTGGTTCCACAAACACCATCTATGGATGACTTATGAGGCTGTGATCACGGGCTTCTTCCCGTTTTTCCTCATCGCCACAGCGATCCAACTCTTCTACCAAGGAAGGCTCTGGAATATTCTGTTGTTTCTACTCATTGTGCAGGCAGTGGCACTGATCAAGTCGTCATTTGCCAGCTGCCTCAGAGGTAACATTGTCATGGTGTTCATGTCATTCTACTCTGTACTGTACATGTCAAGCCTGTTGCCAGCAAAAATGTTTGCAATAGCAACAATCAACAAGTCTGGATGGGGGACCTCCGGGAGGAAAACAATAGTGGTGAACTTCATTGGTCTGATTCCTATTTCAGTTTGGTTCACCATCCTCTTCATTGGGATTATCTACACAATAATCCTGCAGACTCGAAAACCCTTTCCTGAATCAGAAAAGATTGTTCTGATCATAGGGGCAATCGTCTATGCCAGTTACTGGGTCATGCTGTTGACGTTGTATGCAGTGCTCATAAATAAGTGTGGGAAGAGGAAGAAGGAATCACACTATGATATGGTGCTGGATGTATGACTTATGGACTGCAGTCATCATTTACCACTGAACTCTCTTTTTGGGTTGGTTTCACTCACACCATGTTGTTGTTATACACGTTTCTCAGATGCAGAGCAGCTCTGGAGGCAAAATTGGTTGAATTAAACAAGAATAGAGTTTCTCTGTTCCAAACTTGAATGACAATAGCATACAGTATAAATGACATTGGCTGCTTTTTTAGTTCATTCGTTGTTCAGGCATGACCATAGCATTCATCATCTTGGAACATCAGCATGCTAGCTAATTAGCTTGCCTGGATTTCTTTAACATGTTTGGTTGAAGGTAAGCAGACTAGCTACCCTTAATAACTCAGCACAGAAAGGTGAAAATACATTGCAGTTGGCAGCAAGAGCACTAGGCTTTGTAATATTAGCTACCTCTTACCCATGTCATTTTCACTGGGCATCAATTTAACATTTGCAACTTAGCCTAAGAAAATGGATTTTTATCTCCACCCATTAAGGTTTAACTTGAACAGTAAGAATATTTTACCTGCAGAGCATCATTGTGTCTCCAAGAAATATTTGTACACCCTAACCAGAGATCAATCTACATATTGCCCCCACCAAAGGGCAGCCAGAAACCCATCACTACATAGCTTCAAGTTGAAGTCAAACTGAAACTACCAGCACCCTGCCCTGCCAGGCTGTTTCCTCTGTCAAACAACTGAACAACATCAACGATTACATTCTTAACTCTGAAAGGTGTTGAGATGCTAGCACCCTCGCTATCTAATTAGTGTAATTGTAATCTGCACGTATGTTTTGTGTGGATCTCATAATTACGTGAAGTTGGCTATTTTACCATTAAAAACAAACAGAAAAATTCCCAAAGTTATACTGCCTATGTTAAATGATGTAATGGCACAAGTTGTTGTTTGTTTTGGAGGCAATGCACTGGTTTACTTTTCCAGTGTTTTCAAATCTCTTTTAGGAAGAGGTATAAAATCGATGTAAAAGTGTGCAGAAATTGCTTTGGAGAGCTGCTCTATTTCTTTTGTTGCACTCATGTCATATGGAAAAGATGCTCCTTCGTAGTCTTCACACATTTTAAATGTATTTACAATGCATTTTATCATCATGTCATCAAGTCAGTTCATTATTGCAACACCAAAATTGCAAAGGCAATGCACAGCTGTTTGATGCAGGGTGTGTTTGTGCTTGACATTGCAATTCATGATTTGCTGTTTTGTAAATGAATCCAAACACATCACTCTGGTGCATGTACGCTGAATGTGAAAAGGTGCAAGATCCAAAGAGATTTCCAATTGTGCTTTTAAGAGGTCACAAATCAGTAGCCTTATATATCATATTTGGATGTCTGGACACTTACAAGGCTTATTTTTAGTCCCATGTGACGTGAATGCAGTATTTTTCTCAACGTTTACAAAGTGAAGAATCTCAAACTGACCACTGATTGGTTGGATATAATGTCCACCAGATCAGGTGACCAGGTGAACATGTGACCAGACAAGAGATGGTGTATCATTGCTGCTGTGACTGTTTTATATTTACAGAAACAATGACTTGGTTTTTTATATATATATATATATATGAATGATGGGTGTATGTTGCGAAATTGTTTTGACACTATTTTTATTGTTAATGTATTTCTTTCTACCAAGTTGAATGATAACCATCAAGTAGACACGGTGGACATGTTCCAGTCCAAAGACTTTGCAATTCCTTGTGCCCTTGCTCTCTTCCTTTCTGCACAAGTTGATAACCAATAAAGTTGACTATCATACTGTATTGAGGTTAATGTAGTTGTATCTCTCTGCTTCCCTACATTGTGTTGAACGACCTGCAAGGGAAGGAGACAATGTGAGAGCAAAACATTAAAGTACCAAACGGGAGAGAAGTACTACCTGGTGAAAAAGGGCACTTGAGGTTAGGGAATGAAATTTTGGAAGGAAAAAATTCCAGTGTTTGCTATAGACGACCAGGAGCAGACATGAGTTTAATTCTTATGCACTTTTATGTCTCTCCTGTCGTCCACGTGATGCTTGACGTAATCAAGATGAAATACCTCAGTGGTTCTCTTTGCATTGCATCAAGGTGTCAGGATGCCGTCCAAAGACTGATGCATTCTGAAGGTCTCAAGTAATTTATGATCGGTTTGTGATATTAAATATAAAAGTGTCGATTTTTTAAATGCAGTTTCTTATTAAGTCAAAGCTGGATTTCTCTGCCTTGTCGACCCTTTGCTGTAGCCGTTTATGTATTGTACTTTGTATTTCGATGCATTTTATATATAGACATTTCTATTCTATATTTGCTTTGCTACCAAAGATTCTTTATTTTCACTCATGTTTTTATAAGAAAAATGGGAAAATTTGTTGTGCTTTCAACTGTTCTGACAATGACTTGTATATCTGACCAAACAATGTGAAATTATGAGCTAGGGGTTTTGTCTGAAATAACAACAATAAAAATGCAATTTGTAGGGATAAGTTATTTTCAAGAGGTTACGAACCTGTTTTTTTATACTCTATGCGTAGATAGAAAACTAGCATATTTATACGATTCTGTACTTAAGATGTCCTCTGGTATATATGTAAACCCCCTAAGGTTCCATATTTCTACACTGCAAAAACAATAAAAGCGAGGCTTCAAAGGTTTTGCAGTGCTAAAACTACATGGACAATAAAGCAAAGCAGACTGAAAACTTTGGTCAAAAACATTTCAATAACATTTGCACAAAAATTTTATTATCTGCAAATTATGTGTAATCCAGTTGTCAAGTCAGTATAAAGGTGCCTTACGGAGTGATAACAAAAGAAAACATTTTTTAAAATACATTTTAAGAAGTTTTATTTTGAGGTTTAATGAAAAAGACCAACGATTCATGAGGTTGTTTTCATGCCAACTAGTGATGTGTAGTGTTATTATAATGCACTTTTGTGTTGTGCCAAATAAATACAACTTTTGTTTTAATTTGCTGGTGTTGGAATTTTAATTTATTTTTAAATTAATATATGAAAGTGTGGTTTTAACATAAATCTTTGGATGTACTGGGACACACAATCAGTGATGTAACCTGGGGTCGTTGGATATTTTGGGTCTTTCAACACCAGACTCCCTCACCCAGCTAACCACACCAGGGCTGATCAAGCCCAAGCTAGTGTCCCAGTAACACTTATGGTGCATTCAAATACAATATGTTTATGAAGATTCTCAGTGATCCAGGTCATAGTTATCCAACGAAGGTTAAAGTCAAGGGCAACTGGACTTGGTTGAAGATACTGGAAAATTATCTTCAACCAAGTCCAGTTGCCCTTGACGTAAACTATTTGTGTTTACTCGTGCAAATCATGCGAGACCACGAATAAACACAACCTGCGAATAGTATAACAGCATTCTGGGTGTCCACTGACGGTCAGACTATAACAACAGTGGAGGTCAGATTGTCTCGCTGCAGTGGACAGGTTGAGAAGCACGAGTGAAGATAAATCAATTTACTAATCCAAAAAATTACAATTAAAATGAAAATTAATTTAACAAAAGAAATTAACTCTGAGCTCCTCCTGCCGGTAAACGACTTGATATCAGAGCAGAATCCAGTGCAACTGCTGTTGTTTATTTGTCCAGAAGCACCTCACTCAGTAGCTGTCGGTCGGCAAGCAAAGGCTCTGTCCCTCCGCTCTGCCCAGTCCTCTCCACACAACTATCTGGAAAGACCTGCGATACACGTAAATGTTTCGCTTCACGGTGTATGTGAATGCATCATTACACTCCATGGCTCTCTCCAATTGATCCACAGCCACTTAGAGGACCTTTCTGCTATTAATCCAAGTTGTGAATAGTGTCATGTGAAGTCCATTGCTCACTCTCTGATAACTTCCGCCAGACTTTTCTCTGCTTCCGGAACCTGGTATTGGGTATACTTGTTTTCGTTACCTTGCTGCCTCCAAAATAAAAGTGCCTAAGCTAGATCAAATGAATGATTTGTAATTGATTTTATTTGATATCATAATTGTTATACAAGTAATATTGGTTGAAATAACAGTTTGGTAGTAGCTTATTTCACATATTTGCTGAGCAAGAACTTTGTGTGAAAGGAATTGAAGGTTTGAAGGTCAGTTTTACGGCATACCCACTGCCATTCCCAGGAGAGCACTTTGCTGAGGGACTTGCTCGCGAAGCATCCCACTTCCACCGGATAAAACTCCAATCCCTGGCATTGACACTTCTGCATTAAGCATCTTATTTCAGAATCAAAATCAGAATCAGAATCACTTGTAATGGATTGGTATGTGTACACGTATAGGGAATTTGACTCCAATCTTACATTGCTCTCAGTCTACTTACACAACAAGTATAAATAAACAGGACAACAAGCTCAGCAAAAATAGACATAAACTACCATGTACAGTACACACAACCATAAACCAAAACAACATTTGTAGATAGCACTGTAAATAGTGTAGTGAAGCATAATGCAAATAATGCTGGAATAAATATTTCTGTGCATGTATTATTATGTACATGAGGTAGGTGGATATGATATACAGTATATACAGTGTGAACAGCTACGAAATGACCTCACTGGTGAATAAATAGTAAACAGTATACAGGTAGATGGTAGAGTCAGAGTCACAAGGTTGTTGCACAGGGATTGTTTCAGACATTGTGTGCCCAGAGTTAATTGCCTGGCTGTTCCTGTGTCTGTTTTGGTATACAGTGCTCTTTAGCGCCTACAAGAAGGGAGAATTTGGAACAGGTTTTGTCCGTGGTGGAATGGATGTGCTGTGATGTTTCATTATAACATGTTTAAGGCCTGGGCAGGTTGGCTCCAGCAATCTTTTCTGCAGTCCTGACTGTCCGTTGTAGTTTGTTCTTGTCCTCTTTGGTAGCAGATCCAAACCAGACGGTGATGGACGTGCAGAGAACAGACTGGATGATGGCTGTGTAGAAATGGGTCAACATATCCTTAGGCAGGTTGAGCTTCTTGAGCTGGCGCAGGAAGAACATCCTCTGCTGGGCCTTCTTGATGGTGGTGTCTGTGTTGGGTTCCTACTTTAGGTCCTTGGAGATTTTGGATCCCAGAAGCTTGAAGGTTTCCACAGCAGAATACAGGGCTGTTGAGTATGGTGATGGGGCCATCCACCAGTCATCTCCACAGAGCATGTTAAGCTCTATATTTTAAAATCAAAGTGAGATACTGCTCCATCGCATGTGCATTACAGCCCATAATGCAACTGAAGGGCAGAAATCATCACACTGTTATGATGTTAAACACTTGTTACGGTGCTCAGAATTGTTTTTTTTTTTACCAGTGTCAGGTTATAGGTGCACATAACCTGTAGCTATTTGTGTAGCAAGAAGTTAGTAACAACAATCAAAAAGATATTCCAGATTCACTTTTGCGTACCAGTAACAGCCCATAAAGTGTAATTTCAATATTTTAAAGGGCCTATATGCAGTTTTTCAATTAAATCACTTGTTAATCAATCAAAATTTTACTGCCTTTTTGTCAATGGGCTGTAGCCTCACTTAGAAATGAAGCATACGCCTGTTTTCTCTGTTACTTGGAACAGCCATTTTTCTGCTTTTTAATGTGAAGGTACCGAGTCGGGATGTAGCTGGATGCGCTCTCCCGAGCCTCTCTCAGACTACAGCGACAACACCGCAGCTAACGACATGCAGTTCACTAACACCATAAAACCACTGTCTCCCAGCACTACACAAACATGAACTCCATGTAAGGATACAAAACAACAACAAAGGTTTATGTGCTGAAGCCCATCAGACCGAACGAGATGCTGATGATGTGGGGTGAAAACAGTCAACATCAGAAAGGCTGGAGTCACGGGGATATTCACGTTAGCACGCTGGCTAAAGACGAGCAGTTGCTACCGTTATCCGGTGCAAAGTTGTATCACTTTCCAAATTACTTCACCAGCTAACGCGACCCATATTACTATCCTGTTTGCCACCGGTATTATGTCAAAGTGTTGATTTTAGCCTACAAGAAATGATGCAATGGTAAAAAGCAAATGTGGACCGATTTGTTTACTAGCTTATAGTGATGCAGAAAGGGCAGTCAGCTAACGTTACATTAGCTTGGACCTGCTGCTGTTTTCTTCGTAATGTTCAATTTAGTCTTATTGATGTTTTACGATACTCAGGTATACAGCTTCTTCACCATCTCAGTTGCTGTAACTTACATGACCCACATAATATACAACACTGCAACAAAACGGTGCAGAACAACAACATAGTGGAAGACCCATTCACTACAGTGACGTTACTTATTGCAGTCTACCTGTTATTAAGTGTCCCAACAATCTCATTATAATATTCAGTCTAACTCACTAAATGTTTTCGATATCCAGTACATGTAGCTGTGTTGACATTGCTGAGCCTCCGGGGAAAGATACACAAATAGTAATGTTAGTTACTGAAAAGTGCGTAGGCGAGCTTTCGCCAATGTATCATGTCAGCTAAATACAGTAAATGTAAGGTTATTATGTAATCAGCATGGATTAGTTCAACCTCTAGCTGATAAAAATATTACTGTAACGTGTGTTTCCAGCATGTTGTGTAAAGCTGTCTGCAATCTTAAAACCGCACCGCTGGTGGCTGCTGAAAGCTACATATTGCCCCTTTAAAACCTGGGGGTCAAAATGAAAAGTAGATATAAAAGGTTGCAGTGGCTGCAAATGTTTCCTTTGGGGCAATTGCGCCCTCCACAAAAAGTGCGTTTTCTGCCACCAACTGGCTCAGACTGTTATACCAGGTGTAAAACAACATCATGCAAAGGATCCCTACGAGTAACACCATGTACCACCCCTTGTTTTAAACCAGACGCAGAAGCTCTCGATCAAGGACAACAAAAGGAACCTGATGTCCAGCACCAGCTTTTAGGTACATTACCTGCTATATAATAGATACACCTTTCAATTTTCATTTTTAAAATAAACCAACATGCTATCTTTAGTAAATAACTGAGTTGTGACAAAGTGTGCAGCCCAAAGGTGAGTAAGCCCATCTGAATTTTGACATAATTCCCAGACAGCCAATCCCAATACGGATTTGGATCTGGAGCCCTTAAGAGGGAATCTATTGTGTTACAATAGGTGTGTGTAACCAAAACTAGAGAGGGAATACAGATACATTAATTTGTGGACATCAACAAAAATGCTGCCCAACATAACAAAACACGCGTAATTTGGGACACAGTGATCGTAGTGATTTGGCTGACTGCAGATGTGACTTCTGTGTTGAATCAGACGAGTCATGGGAATGAGAACAGAGGTTCTTTATTCGCCAGTGTATCAGAGGGTTGTCAAGGCAGAAGTAAACTTATTTACTGGATACACACACATACACACTCACATAGTTTCAGTTATTTGGCTTCAAGGCATAGCAGAAGAATATGTGCTAATGTCACTAAATTGTTGCCCAAGTCTGATATTAAATCACAGTTTTTTCCCTGTGGGAAAAACGTCAGTCTTCTTTTGTTGAGTCTTCTTTACTGTTAGACTTCCTCTGCTGGCTGTCTTTGCTGGCACCAATAATGGAAACTTTACACAATCAACAGCCCATAGATTGTGTTTTGAAAATGGTCTGGGGTATAAAATGTTTTTTCCATTGATGTTACCAAGTGTTCATTACCACTGCCATTGCTATTTATGTTAGGTGAGCTTATCGATCAACAACGTCATAAGGATAAAAGACCTAAACCAATGATTTGAAATTATTAATCCTATGTAGCCAAAGTATGCCAAAGTCTGATATGTTTTATTCCTCTGTGCCAGCAATAAGCCACACTGGGTGACATGTTTCGTCATTACCGTGAACATATACTGCAGTTTATTTTGAGTTTATCCCACACACACCATATTTTGATGGAAATTCTAAATTGACTAAACAAAATATGTGTCAACAAATGTTCAATAAATAATCAATAAATGTTTGTTTTCATTCACATG